ACTAAAGTTTTGCCCATAACTCACGTGGAGCTATCAACAGAAACTGTCAATAGTCTTATACATGGATCTGCACAATGAAACGTTGATAATCCAAAAAATTACTGATTTAGGTGGCTGGGAAACTTGCCATAGTAGTACATTTTATGGAGTAAAATGTTAGGTTGTTGGGCTAAATTTTTGTCTTGAATTGAGAAGATTTCTCCAAATCGGAATTCTGCCGGCTTTTGAAAGTGATGCAGAAAGAAGTTTTCTGTAAGTTACGTTTTGGGCAAAGGATTACCGATATTTGACTATAAGAGCCAGTTTTTCCAACTACACAGATGGTTAATTTTGTCGGTTTTCGAGAAGAGGCGCCCACATACCTAATGAAAGTCGTACTAGTGGGTTGTCCCAATTTTTGGTTAACCTTTTCATTCAGAAATATCCCAACTGAAGTGGATAAAAGGTTAAGTAGTCAGGCGATCACCCTCCAAACCAGCTGTCAGCTATTTGACAGCGGAAAGGCGAATATCGCCCGTTTAGAATAATGGGTAGGAAAATCTGCGTAGGGCATTCATATGCGGCGTATTGGACAGGGAACAAAACCCGATTTCAGAGTCCTCGAGAAGTTTGACTTAGTTTTTTCCCCTTTCTTATTCCTGGCCGTGATCCAGAGTAGCGCTTTCAGCAAGTGCCTTCAAAGTGCCCACGAAATTCAAGTACCTAATCGGGTAAGGCGTCAAAGCTGAAGCTGATGATGAGGCGGGATTCATAGGGCCGGTTTTGTACCGTGAAAGAACTGTTTTGGCTTTTTTGAGGACCCAAGAAATTTAGCGTACAGGATAGCGCCAAGATGAGTCAGTGGTGATATCGAAGTGATGAGGAAGGCTGGACGGTACAGCACAAAACGTCCACTTTCTTGCTCCTTTGAAGGTATTTTCAGTGGGATTTTTCGAGGTTCAAAGCTCAGAACGGTTAAAATTTAAGTATATTTTCGAGAATTTTTCACATTAAAAAATCGGGCTCAAAAAATTTTCTTCAATTTTATCGAGTGAGCGTCGCAATAGACAAATGACTGAATGATTGGATTAAATTTCCAACCCGTACACTCCTGCTATTCTATGTCCAGTCTTCTATTTGTTAACATTCTCAAAATCAATTTTATTTTTTTTCAAGTTTTCGAATTACTTTTTTTTACTGGCAATTATGCATTGGTAGGCTAAACCCTTGAGATTCGTTTTTGGTGTCGGTGGGAGTAACATTGCGGCAAGGATTAAATAATGAATGAAAATAATTTCTTGAAAAATAATCCAGAAGTTTTTTTTTCACTTTTCCCCGAGCAAGATAATGGTGATGGAATGATGGGCCTGGTAGACGAACAGCGGCAGATTCCACCCTTTATTGGCACTCAGCAATTGATAGCTGCTCAGCACAGCTGACTCTGCGTCTGCGCAACAGAGCAGCCGTGTCCTGTCTCTATTTGTCTTCGTCATCGGCTTCAGATGACATCCTTCTCATCTTGGTTGTAATGATCTCGTCAATCAAACCGAGCACATTTGTCCAACGATTAGCGCTTGTCCAAGTTTTTTTTTCAAAAGAAACTTTGAAACGAGATCTTTTGAAGTACTGATCAATCTTCTTGTTGGATCAATTCCGTTGGCACATTCAGGAGTTCGCTTGAGCTCTATGAGTAACTGAAAAGTTGGATACTACCCTGGTCAAAATCGATCAGTTTGGTCCAAAGTGATTTGGAGAGGGGAAAACTCACTGGGGATGCGCCATGAATTTAGTATAAAACCATAAATTCAGTAAGCAAGGTGGCAGAGAAGTCAGCGTTTAGTCACTGAAAATAAATTTGATCCCACCAGGTGGAACATAACAACTCAGCGGACCCTGCGACGGCTGGGAGAAGAAGAAGAAGAAGGTGGAACCCATTTTGCCAGCGGTAAAAGATATCCGGATGACAGCGAAGTGACAGCGAAGATTGGTACTAAAAAAAGGATTTCCTATTCTAGAGCAATTAAATGCATTCACTCTTTCCTCCCTTTTTGGATTTCTTCGTCATGGGATATCACCAACAATCCCGGCGAATGCGCAAGCTTCACTAGTAATGACGCACGTTGTGACGTCTTCCCACTTCGATCCATAAGCGGTTTTAAGTATCGAATCTAAGAAATCTGTAGATCCCTACAGAAAACCATCGATGTCCTCCTTCCCAAACAATCCCCAAACTGGAATTGGACTTGGTCAGCTCTTATGAATGCCGAATGAATGAATTTTTTACGGGGTCGTCGTTGCAAGCTTGAGGTCCCTATTCGATTAGATAAGCCTTTTTCCAGCTGCCCTTCAAACAGACCGACATTTCCCTCCTTGTCCCTAAGCGATTATTGTAACAAATTGCCTTCCACAAGGGATATATTGCCCCTAGCTTAGATGAAGTACCTAGATTGTTTTTCAGTCCATTACACAGCTGTCTAGAGGTACTTTGACTTGGTTCTGCTGACGGGAAATTTGGATTCCGATTAATCTTTGAAGTTTGATTCCGATTGTTTTAGAAAGGAGCATGTAAATCAGACGATCAGAGAAAAACTGGCAGCAATGGAAGCACGAAAACAGCGAATGAAAGAGATTCGTCGACTACTGGCCGAAAACCAAGGTTATTATAATTTTGTTATGTTTGATGTCAGATAGGGCAATCATCGGCGATTGTCTACCTACCAGAAATGACACCAGAACACTTGGATTCCCTCATCGTTTGCATATGCTGCCCAAATCCGCTCCAAACCCCCCAGAAAAGTGGTCTGTGGGAGTTTCAGGCCCTCCAGGCCATGGGTATGCTGTTGGAGCAGCACTGTTCAGCTCCTTTGCGATTTCCTTATCCGATATCCCTTCACATCTCTGAGTGTCGGTACAACTAGCGATCTCGAGGGATAAAAAGCTTCGCTGATAGTGACGTGTGTTGTGAGCTTTTTCCGTTTTTTGTACTAAAGCGGCTTTAAATGGCTGGTTGATGACGTGTGTGGAACTACGGAAGGAATAAAATGAAATGTCAAGTCAATGAAATGTGTGTAATTTTCTTTTGTCAGGTGAATAACTGAAGTCTGTAGGAGATTAGCTCCCAAAGAACATCGACCCCAAAGGGAAGCACGTAGGGGGTAGCCTTAATAGAAAAAAATTCGTCCCATAACTTTTATAGTTGTCTGGGGGATCTTGACCACTGCACCATACCTATCCTTTTTGCCCTAGTTGCTCCCACCTGCAGTTATTCACTGGGTATTGACAATTTTATCTCATTCAGGGCCAATAACAGGGATTGGCTTCTTTGTTTTTCGATCATCGGGAATTATTTCCCTTCAATACAATGGGTTGTGGTTCAGGTTTCAATCACTTACTGGAAAATTTTGATAGTCAAATTTATATATCGACTTCCCATTTTGGAAACTTTATATTGACGATGTTAAAAGATTTTTTGATTGCATTGAATTGAAGGGATTGAATAATCACAGCTCCCAATGCAATTCTAAATTTCAGCGACGGCATCATCGCTGGTGGCTGAGACGAAGAAAAAGTTGGAATCGTCCCTGTTGCACGACGAATGTGACAAATCGGTGGCCAGTGAAGCTGATACCAACACTGAATCGAAGCCTTCATCCGAGATCAATGGAGCATGCTCCGAAACGACCACCCAAATTTCCGCTGAAGATGGAGCCGATGCAGAAGAGCTCGAGCTGACTGAGAACGAGGAACAGACAAGACTGGAAATCGAGGACACATTCCGTAGTGCCGAATTGAATCTGCAGTGAGTGATTTCCATAGCTATTTGAGGTCCACAGCTTCGTTCAATTTTTTTTTCTGATGTTCCCAAAGTACTCCAATGGGCACTTTATCCCGATCCCATTAACTCATCAATGGATACAGCTGAGAAAAGTGCAGCAGGAGGTTGTTCGGCCGGCCATAGGCAAACGTTCTTTCCTCCAGTCATCTTTTTCCGAGATGGTGACAGTTGCATACGTGATGAATTAGTATTTTGAATGTTCAACTCGGTGTTTGCCCCCCGTGTTCCCAGAGANTTGTTCCTGCTTCGTTACTTCGGCTATGTACCACTGGAAGAAATTAGGACAGTAGGTTTTGTTTTTTCTCCAATTTTTTTTTTGTTTGAGGGTTATAAGAAGTTTAGAAAAGTGTAAAAAAGTGTACTTAGGAGCTCTTTATTTTTCGAATTATTAAAAAATTACCAGAAAACCTACAATATTTTTTATTTCATTACCAATTTTATCGTTCGCTTTCTCTGAGGTACTGGGTCGTTCTACTTGTTAGTATACAAATTTATGAATCTAATTTATATTTCTAATTCATTTGCATAAACAAGAACTGCAGTTTATTGTAATTCGATTAATGTTTTATCTATTACTTTTACTTAGGCTTTTTTATTTTTATGTTTCATATTTTTTTCTATAATTGGGGCTTCTAATTCATTTCCCACAACGTTCGAGTTTTTTTTTTTGTTAATTACTTTTATTTATAGATTATGTATATTTTATTTTTTGTTTATTTTCATTTTTATTTGCCCTTTCTTGTTTAGGGATTGGAAAGTTGATCTTCCTCTGCTCCTTAGCTTCTTGTAGTGGTAATTTTTGATTTCAGCAAAAAGAACAGATAGAATTTTTGTTTCTAAACTGATTCTTCACTGTGAGAACCGCAGCTTTATATTCTTGAGGTCAATGTTGTAAATAATTACTTGTCAATTTGATAAAATACTTATCTCAACGTCAGCTGTCCCTGTTATGAGAGACGATATGAAGGATTACATTGATGAAATCACACTGATAAAACCAAACCATCAGCCAAACCAGCCACAAACATTCTAATCCGACACACTGACCAGGTCCTGCTTTTCCCTCTGTTATCGTGTGCATGGCGCACTCTGCAGCTTGATTGTCTTGTGGCCTTTCTTTACTTATTATGATAAGGATCATTAAAGGTTGATAAACTAGCTGTTCGGTGTTTGGGATATTTTTTTCTCAATGCAACATCCCCTACTCGGACTTTTGAGGTAAATATTAGCCGAAAAATTGTTAATTATTCTTGGAACGAGATATAATTCATCATTTTTTATTATGTAACCTAATCTATTAAGAATTTCTTTCCTTTGAGCCACGATTTCTTCATATATTCGGTTTTTTTCTTTAGTTTGACATTTGAGTCCAGAGGTACTTGATGCTAATTAGGGCCGACCAGGGATTGACCACGCTTTTGACCTCTTCCTTAAAATTTTCAGTGGCATGTCAGTATGTTTGGCTTTGAGAGGGTTTTAGAGAGCTAGCCGGAGTCTATGAGCTAGTCCTGGCGAGCTTGGTACCGATAAATGAGGGGTTGCCTCACGCGAACTTAATATGGTCCCGAATTCGAGCCTGGGATTTTATTATGGTAGTGGTGCTTCTGCTAATGGGTTCTACCTTGGCCTCAATGAGTCCTGCGTAAAAGCTGTCAGAAAAATATTTCCAATGAAGCGTCATAACAAACAGCAGACTCATGAGTGATGGAGGACATATGTCGTCGAACTTGAGTGGGAATTCTTCTTTTCCCTCTGGTGGATTCCCTTGCCAGATGGACTTGGAGCAAAAGCCGAAAAGCTATTATTTCGAACAAAAGCCATAAGAAGTTAAAAACTCAGAAGTCATCGCCCTTCCTGCAAAGACCTTTTTCGCTTCCCCCCCCCCCCCCCCCCCCTACTTTGCAGGAACTCATTCACCTTATGAGCCGAGCTGGGTTGTTTCAAGGAGAGGTACTTCAATTCGTCATCGTTATGCTTTCAATAAATGGCTCTGAATGCTGCCTGAATGTACTTAAAAGGGTTGTCAAGTCATATGAGGGATACAATTCGAAGAAATTGATTAATGCCCAGCACTTAGTCCTTTACTTTCCCGTCGGCTGGGCGATTTCTGGGAAGTGGCGGATTTCCGGGCAGGACTAATAACATCAAATTTCTTCATTTCCATTCCTCCTTTTTCCAAAGGTTCATTGTTCAAAATCCAATTTTTTTAGAAATCTCACACAACTTCGTAAACGTCTTGAGCAGATTCAACAACAAGGTGGAGCCGGGCTGAGCCAAGAAGACCAGGAGTTCCTGAACCAGCTTGATGAAACTGTGGCTGTGGTCAATGCAGCCGATGAAGCGTCGAGGAGCGATGAAGAAGAGGGCGGTGGTGGGAGCAGCAGCGCCCAAGCCCAAGCCGGCGGCGGCCAAGCCATGGCCGACAAAGAGGTGCGGCCCCCGCTTGATTCTTTTTCTTCATGCCGCTTGGCTGTTTTAATTTTAGACGGGGATTTGGGTTTCTCGGTGTAAGTGCTTGCTGCCATGAATTACCAGTCAACTGGAAGGGAGTGGGGGAATATGGGGTTTTGCAGAAAGGGACTTGATATGGAGAAATTTTCGAGTAATCTGGAAATAGCCCCGAAAAAATTCGAGATTTTTACAGATTTCAGAAGGGCCTCAAATTTTTCATCATTTGGTTTATTTGATCTAGTTTTTTTTATCCTGTGTGCATGCTCTATTTACTAGGCTACTCGAAACGCCATTAATTTTTATTGTTACTTTGGCCATTCCGAAATATTATTGCCCTCTCATCGAGGTTTTTTTTTGAATTTTTATTCATTGAATTATCAAATTTTAGAAGACAATAGTATTTTTGTGTCTTACGAGTTAGAAATTGGCCGAATGGCTTGCATGAATGGCTCTAGAGAGACGTGGGATTCGCCATCTGGGCGAATAGACCTGCAGGGTGTGATGCTAATGACCTCTGATTAACTTTTTAGTTTGTTACTGGGGTGTTTTCTGTGCCTTACTATGATTGCCGAGTTTTCGTGCCGTTCCTAACTAATATGTGCCGTTTTCGGGCAAAACCATTAAGAGCATGTTGTTGGCGTGATGTTATGAATACTTAAATAGTACTAGTAGTCATATAAAATGTATGAGCATCTGGTGGTGGCCGTTGCAGGCAGGGGCACATTGCGATGGCCGGACGGGACGGGCGCCTGTTGGGTGCCGAAGCCAACGACGCCGCCATCGCCACCGCCGCCGCTCCAATGATTCCTCGTTGCCCTGGAAAGCGGTGTTCCGTTGCAAGTAGAACGCCGCNCTAATGACCTAAGAGTGTAGTGCAGTGCAGCTAATAGACAGACAGGAAGAAGAATGTTATGTGGGTCAGCGATGAACAGCATCAGAATTCCCATTGAGCATGTTCCTCACTGATCAACATGTGGCTAACGGACGATTTCGTTTTGGTTGATTCGCTTGATGTTAGCGTTTTTATGGCGATGTGAAAGGAAAGATATTTGATGTGGATTTGATCAGCCGCATGGAATGAGTGTACGTTGCGTGATTGCGCTCACACAACTCTCTTTTGCTTTCCACAGATCAGCTTCGATCGAGCCGATAGGGATATAGATCTGACCGAATTCCCGTTGCCAATCCCCGATCAGAACAGTGAACGACTGAAGAACATCGAACAAATGTTGCACGAGCAAACCTCGATGCTCAAGGAACTACTCGAACGTGATCCTCAGGTAAGGTTTCGAGGGCGCCCACTCACAGTACCATTCGAACCATTGCCACATGCACCTCGCCCATAACAGCTGTGCAGCCAGACCAGGCCGAGCGTAGTGCTGCTGTTGGCGATGGTGAGGGTGGTCGAGGGCAGCAGCTTCTGGCAGGCATCGATCCGGCGAGGGGCGGCGCGCCACCCGCTTCCATCGCTGCCTGCCCGGGGCCGGCCCTTCCCCTCTCACTTGTCACTGCTTCTCAGCCATCGAACAGTCGTCGTGCTTCCGTAGTTCATTCGTCCTGTCGCCTGCTCGAACTGCTGCACGCGGCTAGCCCTTCACTACTACGTGGCCTCTCCGCCTGTCTACTACAGCTAGCCGATGGCCAACCATCTCCACATCTCGAACGTATTCTCAACGCCATTTGTGAGGTTTGAGCAAGCCGTTTCTCGTGTTTCGTTCACTACCACTTTGGCAGAGCGACCCACCAGTTAAGTGAATGCTTTGCCACAGTCTTAGACATTGTAAGCTGGGCCGAGGTTCGCTTAGGCTGGAGGGCGCCGACATCGGGTCATCGTTTTCTGAGTGTGTGTGTTCCCAACCGCATCACATCATCGGGTTGTGTCGCCATTTCATTTTGCGATGCAGTGCCGGTCCGGATATGATGGCCAGTCGCTCTTGTGTTTGCGTGCTCTCTATCGCTTCTACATACATTGCCTTCCGCNGGACACAACCCCCAGCCAGCTAGCCAGAATCGCCCTTCGCGTACGCTTCAGAATTCCATTGTCGTGGTACTGTATCCGAATGATAATGGAGGCATGACCGATCGATGTTTCGTCCATGTACGATTCATTCTACGATATTCACCTGTACGCCTTCCAGAACGGACCACAACCATTGGAATCGGTGACGACAACCCAAGCAAACGCTGTTCCTCAGGTTTGAAGCTTCTTTAGTGTGCACTGACCTGTTTCCCTTTTATGTTTGTATTGATTATATGCGAAATCGACCTTCCCTCCGGATTTCTGTGGCTTTCGATTTTTCTGCGGCGAAATTCCCTTCAAGCCATGCAGCTGGAAGTACTTCTTTTTTTTGAGTTTGCCTCATTTTTCAGTTTGACCTCGCTTTGTAGCAGACTCTGTGCTTGAGAGGGAATATGTATTTTCCATGCCTCAGCAGTCTAGAGGGGGCGCTCATCTGTACTGCAATGAAGGCGCCCACATACGTGTCAATATCCAATTTATAGAATTCTCTATCCTCCGGCGCTTAATTACGAGTTATTCGATTTGATTGAACGAGGACGAGCGGCGGCGGTGGCAGCAGCAGAGGCAGTAGCATGCAGCGTAGGCGATGGCTGTGCCCAGAGGGTAAGCAGTACTGCAAGTGGCCCCCGAATAGCACCTTAGCAGCAATGAAGTGGCTGAAACTTGGTCGTAGTTTATTTTTGCGGTGCAATGCAAGATCGATGCGAAGCAGAGCAGGACTTGGTGGTGGGGTCTATGAGAGAGCGGGAGCGAGGGGGCGACGTCAACGTCCTCGGGGCTCCCCCTGTGCTTCTCTCGTCGTTGCCTGCTGCCGCTGGCTGTCGCTTCCGAGGTACAAAATTAAAGAATTGATCCCGCGTTGCTATGTCCGGGGTGTCGGCCCTCGTCTTGACTGCCCCCACACACACACATACGTCCCCGGTGAGTGTGTGTGTGAGAGCCGCTATGCCGCGATGCCGATAGATTATAGTTTGAGGGCAGGTGTGTGTATGGATGTGTGTGTGTGTGTGTGTGGTAAGTGAGTAATGTGATTGAATATGATGAAGATGCAGTGTCGCTAGCCGTCCATCCATCCGCCTGGGGGCACTACTCCCCTCATGCGCTGCTCCTCTCCTTCTCCCTCCATCTCAACGGCGCTCTGATTAGTCGCCTTAAAAGCTGTGCCGACGCGCTAATAAGTGCATTATGTTGCCATGAAAACTTGCTGCAGCTCCCGGCTCCGGCTCTTGCTGCTCCTCCCTTGCATAACCAGTAAATGAGACAACGACAGATGATGATCCTAGGTACGTCATGTGTATTACGAAGATCCGGAGGAAATATCTAGCGACGATCATCACGATATCGGAAAAGTGAAGATCGATCTGGAACGCCTTGTTTCTGACATTATGCGTGAGGTGATGGAAATCCTCGAACAGTGTGACGATATTGATGAGGAAACGGAACTGAGGTCAGGGTTGTAGGGTGCTGTGCTGTGTGGAACTCAGGAACAGACTTGGTGGCTCTTGGGTTCAGTTCCCACTTGTTTTTGGAATATGACAAGAGTTCCTTCGTGAAAATTAAGGGATCCAGTGCATCTTGGACCTTACTGTTCCTGTGTGGTTCTCTCTAACAGTACTACTCTAACTACTAGGTTGGACTTGGAGTGCTAACTCACCGAAATGATAACCTTTCGTATGCTTATGCTGGTATATTGTTAGCGTTCAGGTAGGTATTGAGGTGTATGCATTTTCCGAATAAACAGGGGGATTGATAGGAGTGTAACACACCTGTGGTGTGTCTTGGTCGGTCGAAGAAAAGAGTGAACAGTGGCGCAGTGCGGCTCGAGACGATATCGTATTGCTGTTGGTTGTGATACATCTGGGTGTGTGTGAGGGTATGCTTGAAAGTTATCTGCTGCAGATGCCAACTGTTCAGAAGGAGGCTATCGAATCCATTGGGCGGCCGCCCGCCAAGCAACAGCACATTACAGCAGTCGTCGAAGAAACGTCCATCGCCGTTGTCCGCCCCGACCGGCCGGCCGGGAACAGTTGCTCTCGGCCTCGAAGCCAGTCAGCCAGCCATCCAGCAGCCGACTCTTTTACAACTCAAGACGAACGGCAGTCAAGTCCGTTGGATTCATCGACCCCATAGATTCACATGTTTGGGACCTACACCCTCACTAACACGGAGAGAAGGCACCACTTTCCCAGCTCATGCCTACGCATTACACAATTCCAATGAGGGGTCACACAATGAGATGCATTGATTCGGCTGGAGCGACGCGCTTCGTTTCGAAATTGGTCTTGATGGCCCTTAGAATCAATGCGAGCCAAAAATTAAAAAGTTCAATAATTGGACAGCTGTCCTCCGGCTGGACGGAGCTGTCGACGAGCCTGGCTGACTTGGCAAGTTTTCATCCATGGACGTAAAGCATGTCATGGTTCCTCATGGGAATGTTCTTATTAAAAAGCTTTTATTTGAATTGTGCCTTCTTTGACTCTGTATGCTTATTGAATGCTCTACGCAATGGGCTTTCATTAAGAGTCGAATGGGGAAGTGTGAGCGAATGAAATCTATACGATTAAGCTCGCCAGTTCTCCTCCTAAATGAATTTGGTACCATTTACTAACACGGTATGGGGACATGGGAAGGGGGTGTGGTGCTGGAGGATTTGGCACGCTTGTACGGAAGACTTGATCCTCAGACAGGGTTCACTGGTGCCACTCCTTCACCCATTCCATCACAGTAAATTCGATACCGAATATTCCAATGAGTAAGGCTCATTTCTTCTAGGTATACCTATGATAAAGCTAACTNGAATATTTATAATGAGTTCTTGATGTTGCATAGGCGACTTCTAGCCAATTTGCATCGATCCGCTGTCGGAAGATCCTGCTTAGGGGCTGCTCAGGATGAGCTCTGCTCATTAATTAGGATTTGAGGTTATGGAGCGGTGACACTCATCTACGATAACTCCGGGCTATAAGCTGGGCCCACGCATTTACTCGATGTTACTTTACTACTTGACTCGTCCTAAATAAAAAAGGCTCTGTTATCATCT